CCAGGATCGAGCATTGTTTCGTTCTGCTGTGCATGGGGTCGCTATGAGTCGGTTCCGACTCGATGGCACCTGACAACAACAACAATATGGATACCACATTTTGTTTATCCATGCATTAGTTGATGGACATTTGGGCTGTTTCCACTGCTTGGCTATAGTGAATAGTGTGGCATGTTTTTGAACACCTGTCTTCAATTCTTTTGGATGTAGATCCTAAAATGGAATTTCTGGGTCACATGGTAACTCTCGACGGCACCTAACAACAACAACGATAACCCTCTGTTTAACTTACTGAGGAATTACTAAACTCTTCCACGGCAACTGAGCCATTTTACACTCCCACCAGCAATGTATGAGGGCACTCACCACTTTCTCCATATCCTCACCAATGATTATTTGTTTTTAATTATAGCCATTCTAGTGGCTGTGAAGTGATATCTCATTGTGGTTTTGTGTAATAGCCAGTGAAGGTAAGCATCATTTCATGTGCTCACTGGCCATTTGTGTATCTTCTTTAGAGAAATATCTATTCAAGTTCTTTGCTTATTTTTAATATTGATTTGTGTGTGCTTTTTATGCATTCTGGATACTGGACCCTTATCACATGTATGATTTGCAAATGTTTTCTCCCCTTCTGAGTTGGCTTTTCACTTTCTTAATAGTGTCCTTTGATGGAGAAATGCTTTTAATTTTGATTAAGTCTAATTCATCTATGTTTTTGTGCTTTTGGTGTTAGAGCTAAGAAACCATTTCCATATTCAAGATCATAAAGATTTTACGTCTATTTTCATCCAAGGGTTTTATAGTGTTAGCTCTTAGGTGTTTGATTAATTTTGAGCTTACTTTTTATATGGTGTGAAGTAAGGGTCTAACTTCATTATTTTGCATATGGCTCTCCAGTTGTGCCTGCACCATTTATTAAAGAAATGATTATTTCCCCACTGAATAATTTTGATACCCTTACCAAATATCAGTTCACTCAGGCAACATAACAAGAGGGAGGTTTGCAGAGGAAAGATGAAGGTAGCAGGAGACACAGGAAGGAATGCAATAGTTACAGTGAACAGAGGTAATGTTAACTGTTGGTACATGGAGGGGACTGTAATCATTGTAATGAAACAAAGTATAGGAGTTGCTGAATGTAAAACTGATGATATGCTCTGTAAACCTTTAATCAATTTACAATAAAAAGTTAAATAACAAAAAATCAGTTCACTATTAATATATAGTATTTCTAGACTGTCAATTCTATATATTTTTTCCTTCTGCTAGTACAACAGTTGTGTGTGTGTTGTTGTTTTTTTATTGTGAATTGAGTGAAGGTTTACAGATAAGATCATCAGCTTTACATTCAACAAATCTAATACTTTATTTCATCTCAATAATTTGCAATCCACAGTCCAGGCAACCACAGTTATCTTGCTTCCTCCCTGTGGTTCCTGTTAGCACCCCACCCACCTTCTCATCCCTTCTCAACTTTGTCCTGAGGAAAATGTTGCCCTTTCAATTGTGAATGTGACCATTCCATGGTGAGCATCCCTTACTAGTGTTGTTGTCCCCACTCCATACCTCTCTACTGCATGGCTGAAAATTGGCCCGTGAGGGTGAGTACCTTTCCGGATCTGAAGGCTGGTCAAGAGCCATAGTCTCGAGTTCCTCCATCTCATTCTGACCAGTAAACCCTGTCTTTTTTATTCTTAAATAATTTTGAGTTTTAGTTCACATTTCCCCCCACTCTATCTGGAGGCGTTACCCTCTAATGTGATCCCTTTCAGAGCAGTTGGTAGTGGTAGCTGGGCACTGTCTGGTTCTGGTATCTTGAGTTGTAGAAACTGGGGTTTACATAGTCCATTGGATTGATTCCAAACCTCTTCAATTCTAATTACTCTTCTTTCTTCCACACACAGAGAGACCAACATCTGCATCTTAGATGACTTCTCATGAGCTTTCAAGACCCCAGGCCCTATTCACCCAAGTAGAATATAGAACATTGCCTTTGTGGACTATGTTATACCAGTCAACCATGGTGTCCCTTGAGACTATGGCCCTGAGCCCCCAGACCCAGCAACTCCTTGCCTTGAGAAGTTGGATAATATCTAGGAAGTGCTCATCATTTTGTCCTCTGTATGCTCCACCACATTCCTAGTTGTGTTTGCAAGAAGTACCAGTTTTTCAGTTTTGATCACTGTAACTTTGTAGTAAGTTTTTGGGTTTTTTTTCAATTTTGAAATGAGGGAAAGCTTTATGGAAGTCTCACAATTAATTTGTTCCTGTTTTGTAATAAGTTTTGAGATGGGAAAGTGTGATTCCTCCAACTTTGCTCTTCAAAATTGCTTTGGCTATTTATTCAGGGTCCCTTGTAGTTACATATAAATTTGAGGATTGTGTTTTCCAATTTGCAAAGGTTGCTGAAATTTTGATGGAGTGCATTGAATCTGTAGATGGTTTGAGGGAATATTGCTATCTAAACAACATTAATTCTTCCAGTCCATGCACCCAGGATGTCCTTTAAAAAAGAATTGTCATCTTTAATTTCTTTCCACAATGATTATAGCTTTCATTTTATAAATCTTTCACTTCCTTGTATAAATTATGCCTAAGTATTTTTTTCTTTTAGATACTATTTTTTTTTCTTAAATGTTTTATTGTGACTTATGTGATAGTTTACATGGGAGAACATTAGTTTTACATTCATTCTATCATATATCGTCTCATTGCCATGTTTACAATCCCCTCCATGCAATCCTTCCCCCCAGACCCTCCAGGTGTTCAGCCCACAGTCGCTGTCCCTCTCTGGATCTAAAGTCTCCAGCTGCCCCATCGCTCCACGTCA